TATATATATATATATATATATATATATATATATATATATATATATATATATATATATATATATATATATATATATATATATTTATTTATTTATTTATTTATTTTTTTATTTTTTTTAATGCCATTTGATTGTAAGAAAGAACAATTATGAGGCCATTTTTTTTTTATTGGCTGATTCACAATTGTTAGTTTTCTGAACAGTTTGTGGGATTTGAGGATTTTCTCCATTCAAGTAAATACAGTAGGACCATATTAAGGATTATTTGTGGTTTAAGGATGTCTAATAGACATTAAAACATAGACGTCTTGGCAAAAGCAAGGCTAATTTGGGATGTCAGTGAAAATCAATGTCTAACAGAAGCCCAGAAATAGACAATAAACAGGAATTAATGACTACACTGTTAACAATTTTTGTAAATTATGCAGTATTTAACTGTAATATTAGCTGTATTTTACTGTAGGACAGTTATGCTGTACGTTACTGTATTTTAATATACAGTATAGTACAGTACATTTATAGTGTTAAGTTGAATTGTAAATATTACTGTTTATTTTACATTAATGATATACATACCATTCTGTGAATATATATAGAGTAAGATAAATGGTAATGTACATATAAATACAGTATTTTAGCTGTAATTTATTTTCCAATAAGTCAGTGGCGTAGCGGACGGGCCCGCAGGGCACGCACCGCGGGGGGGGCCCCGCGTGATTAGGGGGCCCCACGTCGTCGCGATTTTTAATAATTGAAAATCCAGGAACCGCAATAATCAAACTCTTGGGAACAACTGTGGTCGAAACCAAAGTTTACAGGTCGGTGTTCTCTGAACTCCGCTCAAGCGGTGGACTACTTCATTCTGATTGCTTGCCGCCGAAACGCGTCATAGCCAATGAAGACGCGCCGCTGTTTCTTGCCGCCGGTTCTCGTTAAAAAATGAATGACTTCTGGCTACCTTGACGCTCTCGCCACTTTCGGTTTGTGATCGCTTCTCAGTTTGTGAAGGATTCCCCGCGTTGTCACGCCACCCCGCCTCCTTAATTTGTGACATAGATATATACACTAGATATCGCATAGGGACCCTGAGCATGCGTCTATAGCGCCGCCACAATGGTACAGTGCTCCCAGGACAAATGTCATTCAACCGCACTAGTCAAGACAGTGTTATTACGTGAAGATGCTGGACTTTAGAGCTGTCTACGGGTGTAGAAACAAGCAAACAAAGAAAACAAAGCACAAAGGCAGAACATTTCATAGGATTAAGTTTTTTACGTTTTTGTATGTTTTGAAATTTGTGCTAAACAGGTCACGTTATTGATAATAATAGCTATAGTCACTTACTGCATTCACCATAAGGCAAAGTAGCACCAACTCGCACTAAACACTCGGTTTATGCTAGTTTTGTTGAATAAATCAGCAAACAATGCAAAAGAAATATGACAAAGAGATGCTGCGCTGCCAGAAACTTGTTTTATTGTTGGCTAGCGAAAGAGTCGTTCATAACGGAGATTCATTCACAAACGAATCGCTCCCTCCGTCAGTATGAGAAGTAAAAGCAGGAGAGGAGCTGTGTTTCAGGACATGATCAGATCAAATTTAACAGGGAGAGTGAATAGTACATTTCCATACACACAAACACAAGCTTTTTGTCAGGAATGCCCGTGCGATAAGTGATCCATCAATGTAGAAAAGTGATATCAAATAAAAATTTTCATAATTAAATACAAAATGCATACTAACATCCAGGAAAACTCCCGATCACAGATATGTGTATATGTGTATATCTATGTGTATATGTGTATATCTCCCACCCCACCCCCCACCCCCCGCCTTCAACTGGGGGCCCTGTCGGTGATCCCTGCAGGGGGGGCTCCGCATTTTGCGCTACGCCACTGCAATAAGTTACTGGCGAACTGCTCTGTAGACTCTACAGGAAATGATTAACAGTGTGCACATATAAAATCTACATAAAATGTCTATTAGACATCTATTAAACACAGAAAAAAATGTTACATGAAGTTAAAGTGAACACTTTCATTGAAAGTTAGTTTGGTGATGGCTGTCGTAGAACTGCTAACAACGCACTTTGATGGCATTTTTTTGAAAACATGACAATTTTAAGTAGTTATAGGATAAAAGCAGTCTGAAATGAAAGTTCACTCTGAGTTAAATCACTGTTTTGCATTTAGAGGAAGACTAAATTTGATGAGACGACTCACATAGGGGATCTCAGCAGCTCTCATGTCTCTGTAAAGATCTGCGATCTCCGAATCGTTGGCGTAGCCATAGCGACAAAGCTGGAATCCAAGCGACCAATAGGCTGGAAGAACCGGACGGCCAATCAACTGTCAAAACAAAATGCACAAACCGAGATGAAAATGTTTTTACATTTTATGCAAATAGATTGACGACATAAATATTCAAGTGGCTTAAGAGAATCTAATAGTCCCTTCTGTCTATGTGACAAGCGAGATTCTTTTAGATAAATATTTATGTATTTCATTTATGCATGTGAGTTTTCCAGTGTTATTTGTGTGTGTGTGTGTGTGTCTGTGTGTGTGTGTGTGTGTGTGTGTGTGTGTGTGTGTGTGTGTGTGTTTAGATTGAGTACACTGTGGGCAATGAGGCAGAGAAACTCCAGCTGCTAAACCTCATCAAACCAGGAATAACACACAAACACACTCTCACACACATACGCATGCTTATATATGGTTTATGATGACTTTCCATAGTCATAATGTATTTTATACTGTAAAATCAGCTTGTTATATGGCCTTACCTTAACCCTAGCCCTAAATCCAACCTTCAATGTAAAACTGTGGCAAATTTAGTAAATCGAAAACCCTGTTCTGTATGATTATTAAGGCATATCCTCATAAAATCACTTTAAAGGGGACATATTATGCCCCTTTTTACAAGATGTAAAATAAGTCTCTAATGCACCAAGAGTCTGTATATGAAGTTTCAGCTCAAAATCCCTCACTAATAATCTTATATAACTCTTTGAAACTGACCCTTTTAAGCTTTGATCCTAATAGTGGCGTTTTGGCGATAGTCACTTTAAATTCTAATGTGTACTTTTCAAAAGAGGGCGGAGCTACAAATGCCTATGTGTCGGCAAAGTGGCAGATTTAAAAACAAAACTAATGTCCTATGCCAGTGGTTCTTAAACTGTGGTACACGTACCACAAGTGGTACGCATGCTTCCTTCTAGTGGTTGCGGAGGAATCGCTGAATAATTCAAATAAAACAAATGAACACACTTTTAACCCTTTGACACGTACGATAACAGCGTTATGATCAGGAAATTGATTTTAATAGGCTAAAGTTTTTATTTTATTTTCATTTTTCTAATGTTTGTTATGTATTCTATCATTTGAGGTTATTTTCCTCCCCGTACTTGTAATGGTTGTTGGGGGCGTATCTCGAATTTCTTTATCCTAATGTTGACAGGTATAGTTTAATCACTTGCTTCTCTGACGCACATCGCCTATTCTAATGAGCAGTGAGCAGATCTAGTTTCTAAATTAAATATGTAAATCCAATTTATGTCTCTAAAATACAAGTTAACGTTTACATTTCAAAGATATACAAGTAAGTCATACATGCAACGTTTATTTCAAAATTTAACAAAATATGTATATAATCTACATTTATGAGGTCAAAAAAATAAATAAATTGACAGGTTTTGATGAATAGGCTACTTTATGACAATACTTTACATTTAAGTACAGCAAAGGTTTACTTGTATGTGTGAACAGGTCCTTTTTGAAAATACAGGTAAATTCGTTCTGGCTATTTTCCGGAAAGAGAAGTTGTAACATTACCGGTAATTTGCCGGAATGCTGCGCTGTGTAAATGCAGAAGGAAGATTGCCAGAATAAGCGCGTGCACGTCTAGAACGTGCTGACGTGAGACGTCTGCTTTAGCCAATCACAACAGTCAGACGCATTTACGTCCGCGCAGTTTATGAAAATAAAAGACTTTGAATATTTTTCCAGACACATTTAGCTGCTAGAAGTTAGTCAGATCATGTTTATATGTTCTTCTTAATGCCAACTGTTTAAATAATCATCGATGAGATGCTTATGATAGGCCGTTGTTTGTTTACCTTCAAACTTTGCGTGTGCCTGTGAAACAGCCTGTGAGCGCCTGCACACGCACATATTATGAACATTTTGACATGCGAAAGTGATCCTGCGAAAGTTGTTCACAATATTGATCATCCACAGAGTTTGTAATTTAGTCAAATGTTTACAAATACAAGCGCAGCCGTTTAAGGCTCATTTGTGGTTAATGATGTCAGAATTTACCGGTATTTTGGAATGGATGTGTGAATGCTCTTTTCCGGAAAAATTCCGTAACGTCCTCGCCTGTGTGAACAGCGCTTTTTTGAATATACCGGTAAAGTCGTTCCGGAAATTTTCCAGATATTAACCGGTATCACTGTGTAAAAGGGGCTATTGTTTACCTGTAAGTGTGATATTGTTCAAACTGTTTATTATGTTTAAAGTGGCTGACAGTAATAATTTTTCATAATAATACGATTTTATCTGCCACGTTTGTGAACTTTGCAGAGCTGTAGCCGCTTAGTTAGGCCTACCATGTATTTCAATACCAGTCATTATGGTGGTACTTGGTGAAAAAAGTTTGAGAACCATTGTCTTATGCTAATGAGGGAGAGATTGTCACTAATGGGCTGGGCTTTCCCCCTCTAATGACACAAACAAAGTGAAAATGTCAATCAAAGTGCTTCTGCAGACAGTTTTGATCAAGTGTGATTAAAAAGTTAAATAATATAATATACCATCAGAAGCTGGATATATTCACAGTAATTTACTTTAATTGAGTACAAGCAGGTCAGACCCATGTCATTATACAA